TAGCTGCATGTCACTGCTGAGCAAGCAGAAGTTCTGTAATATTTGACTTGATTTTCCAGTAAAAAATATTAATTTTAATATTGAAATTATTTACAAGACACTGAATTTCAACTTTAAAAAAGATGTATTTAAAGCTGTCTCTGGGGGCTGGTCTGTGGTGCACTCGGGAGAGTGCGGTGCTGATGACAAGGCCACAGGTTCAGATCCCATATAGGGATGGCCGGTTGCTCACTCGGGAGAGTGTGGTGCTGATGACACTAAGGCCACTGGTTCGGTCTCATATAGGGATGGCCGGTTGCTCACTTGGGAGAGCGTGGTGCTGACAACACCAAGTCAATAGTTAAGATCCCCTTTACCAGTCATCTTTTTATAAAAAAAAATAAAAAATAAAACTATCTCTGCACTCATCATTGGATGGAAAGACAGCCTCATTCAAGCCTGGGTTATAGTGCTGACTACACTGGTTTGTATGGTAGTCCCCCTGATTCACGGGGGATGCATTCCAAGACCCCCAGTGGTTGCCTGAAATCGCAGATAGTACCGAACCCTATGTATACTATGCATGATTTTTTTTTCTTCTTCACAATTTCACAGGTTACAAGATATGTTCTTACCATAGATTTTAGCAATTTTGGCATACAATTTTTTTTCTTATTAAGACAAGGACTTTCACCTTTTTGCTTAAAGGAAGCAGTTTCTGGCTTCTCTTTGGCATATCCAAATCACCAGCATCACTACTCTTGTGCTTTGGGGCCATTATGAAATAAAACAAGGGTTACTTGAACTCAAGCACTGTGATACCACAACAGGCAACCTGATAACCTAGGTGGCTACTGAGTGACTCATGGGTGTTGTTTCTATTACAACAAAATACCTGGAACTGGGTAATTTGGAAAGAAAATGAAATTTATTACTTACAGTTTCTGAGGCTGGGAAGTCCAAAGTCCATCTGGTGGTGACTACAGTGATCCAAGGGTCTCACGTTGCAAGATGGTGGAAGCAGACAGAGCAGAGGGAGACAAACAAACCTCCTCATGCGCCCTCCTTTTATTTATTTATTTTTTTTCTTTTTTGTCTTTTTTCGTGACCGGCAACGGATCGCAACCCTCAGTGTCGCGCCCGTACCGGACCGGGACCGGCAACAGGATCGCAACCCTCGGTGTTGCTCCCGCACCCTGCTCAGCCAGTGAGCGGCCGGTCTGTACGTGGGATCCGAACCCTCAGCGGGAGCGCCGCTGCGCTCCCAAGCGGTGCACTGTAGCAGTGCGCCACTGGGCCGGCCCTGCTCCTTTTAAAGCCCTCAGAAGAGAAGCCCATGACCACCATTTTTAATCCATTCACTATGGCATGGTCCTGCAATCCAATCAACTCTTCAAGGCCCCACCCTACAACCATCACAATAGGATTTCCCACCCTCAACAGTCACGGTGAGGATTAAGCTTCCAATATATGAAATTTGGGGAACACTATTCAATCAATCTACAGCAGGGGCGTAGCATGTACGGTGTGGATATGCTGGACAAAGCGATGATTCACATCCTGGGCAGGATGGGGCAGGACAATGCAAGATTTTATCACACTTCTCGGGACGGTCTGCAATTTCAAACTTATGAATTATTTCTGGAATTTTCCATTTAATGTTTTCAGACCACAGTTGCCTGCAGGTAATTGAAACCTCCAAAAACAAAACCATGGATAAGGGGGACTACTGTATTGTCTGAATTCCCATCCACCTCCTCTACTAGACTGAGTGCCCAAAGGTTGGGGAACACAACTTACTTCTGCATCCAAGGGCCAGTATAGGGCCCGACATAGACCAAACATTGTGCAAATACATAAATGATGAACCTGGATGGATGCGGGCGTGACAGGTGTTGGATGGGTGGGTGAGTGGGTCTGGATGAGTGAATGAGTGTTGGAGGGGAGGCTGGAGGGAGGCTGGAGTGATGGCTGAGAGTTCGTTGGAGAGAGAAGTCCCTGGGGGCAAGTCAGGGAGGTCTTCCTGCAAAAGGAGGGAATTGGGCTGCACTTTGAAGACCACGGAGGACTTGGATAAAGGAAAATTAGGAAATGAAGATAGGACTTCGACTCTTGTTTCAGCCACTTGGAGGCAGGAGCTGACAGGGAATAAAGGATTGAGCCAGATCTTCATAGGCCTTCAGTGCCAAACTGAGAAGCTTAGACTGTGAAGTGTTCTGTTCTTCAGCCACCATTTATCAAGTCTACTTGTCTGTTCGTGTATGTGACATCTCCAAATCCTCACAATAACTTATCAGGGGTGGAATTATCTTCTCTATTTATAATTGAAGAAATAGGTTCAGAGAGGGAAAGTGACTTGCCCTAGAGCTAGAATTTGAGTGACTGCAAAGCTGCTGCTGCTTTCTTTCTTCTTTTTTTAATTATCCCATGATGTTCACTCTATCAATGAGGTCACAGAGAACAGAGAGGAGTTTTGAGTTGCGGCAGGGTGTGGGCAGAGATGGTCTCATCTCTTCAGTGGACATATTCAGGAAGAGTGTCTCCCCAGCTACACTATGAGCCTGGGCAACTCTGTCACAACCTCCTCCTCCATCCTCTAATGGGAACCTTCTCCCCCAGGACCAGGTGCCATCTGAGTCAAGAACATCAAGCTGTATCTCAAAGCACCAGGGCTCCCAAGGCCAGGCACCGTCAGGGTGGAAGGGGGAAGAATGGAAGAATGTTCGGGATGGGAACCACAGAGAGAGGCCATGGCAGTGGGCCCTGAACAAGCCTGGGGAGATTCTCTCCCAAGGTCAGCAAACCAGTGAAGTCAAAGCTGGAAAGGCCCTTGGAGACTGTCTAGTCCAGTGACCTCTATGTATGGAAGAGGAGCCCGAGACCCAGCAGGGAAGGTGACCTGCCTAAGGTCACCCAGGAGTCAGAGGCAGACTGAACCAGAACCTGCACTTCTTGACTCCCAGGCCAGTGCCAATTGGGAGAGGTGGTGTGTAGGTGCCAAGATGCAATAGGTGGCAGAGAAAATCCTATTCTGCCACCAACCTGCTCTGTGACCTTGGACAACTCACTTCCTTTCCCTGAGCCTCATGTTCCCTTTCCTCAAAATGAGTAATGATCCTAGCTCTGCCTTTCTGCCAAGGAGTATCCAGTGAGAGATGAACTTGAAAAGCTCTTTACAATCTGCAGAGCCCTGGGAGGGGACTCACCAACAAGAGGCAGGCTGGAGCCAGATGGGTAGGTGCCAGGGTTGGGCCTGGCACCATCAGGCCCCCCTCAGCCCCTTGCCCAAGCCTGCAGCTCCCTTGGTCTCTGCCCAAGCATTGCCATCTGTGTGGGCACAACGGCTCCACCTCCTCCTGCCTCCCTGCCAGGGAAAAGTCTTCTGGGATCTTCTCGCTTTATCAGAATCTTCGCTCCGTCTCCAGCTAGACCCTCTTCTCTCCCTCCTATTTTAGTTAGGACTCTTGGTTGGAAGTGACAGGAATCACAAGTACACGGAGGGAGAACTAGCTTTAGGCATGACTAGATCCTACAACCTAAAGCAGTGTCACCAGGAAACTCCCCTTGCTTGTTCAGTCTTCCTCCCACACTATCCCTCTGTCCCTCTGCTGTGGCTTCCGCCTTGGGCAGGCCATCCTGAGGTGGCAAGGATGGCCACCAGCACCTGCAAACTGACACCACACCATTCAGGTATGGCAGGTAGAGAGCAGCTCGGTCCCGATTGTTCCAGCAAATATCCAAAGCAATTTCAGGAGCAGAGCACAGGGTTAGTGCCTGTCCCTGAACCCCTCACTCTGTCTTTGATTATTTGGCTAGGTCTGGGTTACCTGCCCACCCCAGAAACTAGAAGTGGGATCAGCCCCACCCAAGCCACATGGATGGAGTGGCAGGAGGTGGTTCTCCAAAACAAAGAGATGGATCCTGTCACCAGAAGAAGGGGTGTTAGACACAATAGATATCCTTGGCACCTTTGTTTCTGAGTGTATTGGCTGAAAGATTGAACCAGGGGGCTGCTGGGAACAGGATTGATTCCTATATGTATCAGTTAGCTGTTGCTGCATAACAAATCACTCCAAAACCTGGTTTAAAACAACTGTTTTATTTAGCTCATGATTCTGTGGGTCAGCTGGGAGATTCCTCTGGTCTGGGCTGTGTCTGGGTTCAGCTGATGGGTTGCCTAGACTCCGAGTGACCTACGAAGGCCTCACTTACTTGTCTGATGGTTGACTGGCTGTCAGCTGGGGTGCTTCAGGTTCCCATGTGGCCTCTTGTCCCCAGCAGGTCAGCTTGGGCTCATCCACAGGTGGTCTCTCTTACAAGTGAAGCAAGTGGGCAAGCTCCAGTGCACATGCATTTTTCCACCCTCTGCTTGCATCATGTTTGCTAAAGTCCCATTGGGCAAAGCAAGTCACATGACCAAGTACAGAGTTAATGTGGGAGGGCACTACCCAAGAGCATGGAAACAGGAAGAGGAAGAATTTGAGGCCATTTTGTAATCGACCATAGCTCCCTCGGGGAAGGGAGTGAAAAAATCCCTTCCCTGTGGCCCATGGATCCCACAGGCCAGGGTAACCTACAGATAGGTATCCTGGGGAAGAGGTGAGTCAGGTTCAGGGCCTTCCCTGAGCTCTACAGGGCCATGAGTCAGCCCTTGGCCAGGATTGGGGCAGGCAGGGCTGGGATCCTGGTCCTGACCCCACCGGCTTTCCCACATGGGGAAGAGGCAGGCGCTTGAGCTGTTGGTGGGAGGATCTCCTCTGCAGGGAGGAAGGTGTTCTGAACCCTGGCTCCTGTCTCCCTCCAGCCACCCCAAAGTGAAGATCAGTCTTACGGACCTTCCCCCTATAGCCCCAACAGACTTGCCCCCACCTCCCAGCATCCCTTTGGTCCTGAGGGGCTGGATGGCCCCAAGACTTGGGCCTTATCACCATGCTAACTTGTCCCCTGCTCCACAAGGTCAGGAGGAATCCCTGTCCTTCCCCGTCAGGGGGTGACTTGGCCTCAGCCCATCTTTCCCACAGGTGGCTGCACTGGAACGGCAGATCTTTGACTTCCTGGGCTACCAGTGGGCTCCCATCCTAGCCAACTTCCTGCACATCATGGCAGTCATCCTGGGCATCTTTGGCACCGTGCAGTACCGCTCCCGGTACCTCATTCTGGTATGGCTCACCTAGCCCCTTCCCAAGCCAACCCCCTCTCCTCACCCGTGCCAACCCTACCCAACCCTGGGCACCCAGACCAACTCGTCTTGGCTCCAACACAGCTGGTGGGTGAATGTCCAAATCCCAATGCTTTTTGCTCAGAGGAGACAACATTGTTCTTTAGAATTTCTTAATTTGAATATAAATAAGATATATCCTTTAATGAGTGCCTAAGGGTTTCACATGATTTATCTCATCTCTACAACAGCCCTGTGAGGTATATCTTAAATTCTCCATTTTCCAGATGAGGAAACTCAGGCTCAGAAAGATTACAAGTCTTCCCTAAGGTCACACAGCTAATAAAGGCAGGGCGGGGATTAGAGCATCAGATCTGGAGCGAAGGTTCCTGACACATCACACACTGCCTCAGTATGCCAGTGGGAGACACAAAGGAGGGACGGGCTTCGTGTTGTTAAGTTTCTCAGGTTGCTTCAGGAGGCTTCAGCAAGGCGTGGCATTTGTCCTTGCTGACTGATGCTCATTGAGGATGTGGTCTGGAGCAGCTGGTGTGGCTTTGAGCTCAGTGCCTCTCTCCCCTCCAACCCCAGGAGCCTGATTGTGTCCCAGCTTGCTCCAGCACTTGTCCCTGATGGTCTCTGTCAAACTCCTGGATTTTCAGCTGGACTCACCCATATCCCTGTTTTTTCTCAGTGGCCTCTTCACATGGCTCTCTTGAGGGAAAAGGCTTTTCACTAGAGTACTACATACATGCTTGACACCTACAATACCCATGATGGGCAATGCTGTGCTACCACCAGGGCTCACTCACACTCATCCAGAACTTCTCCCCGCAACACCCACCAAGGCCCAGCTCACAGGAGCCAGGTGAATAGGGTCCTAACAAAGATCTCTCTCACCTCACGTGAGAGGTTCCGTGTTCTTAGGAAGGCGTCAGGCACCGCTGTCTGCCAGGTGACAGCCACTGGAACTGCAAGCATAGGACTTGGGTGGAAACATCCAGCTCCCAAACTTGCTCTGACCTCCTCCTCTCTAGCTCGCTGCCATGGGTAGGATGCTGATCTCCCCAGAAGCGGCCACATCTGGGATGTGGGAAAACTGAGGGCCAAGCAGTCCTGGGGCTGCCCTGATGATGCTGCTCCAGCCCCTCCAAGGCCAGCCCTCTCCCTCTAGCCAGGTGGAAACGTTGCTGGAGCTGCACCAATTGCCCCGGGTCCCTCAGGCACAGTTTACAGAGCAAGGAGGGAAGTGAGAGGAGGGACAACGTGAGAGCTTCCAGGGCCCAGGCTGGGCACCCTTTCCATCCTGGGGCCTTGGCACAGCCTGCTCACCCCAGCCTTTCTCCCCGCTCCCCTCATCCTCTTGTACCCAGACTCCAGCCACAGCCATGAGTGAGATGATGTCACACACTTATACTCAGGCACCAGGTTGCAGGATAACTTTTCTTTTGGTCTGAAGTTCTCAGCATCCTTAAACCATGGCTGACTCGGCTTATCTTCTCACAGAGGGCCTCAATCACTTATGAGAATTAATGCTTCTTCCTAGGAAGTGAAGAGGTCCCTCATTCTCCCTCCTCCCCACCCCATTCCTGAAAATTCCTTTTTTTTTTTTTTTTTAAAGATGACTGGTAAGGGGAGCTAACCGGCCATCCCTGTATAGGGATCTGAACCTGTGGCCTTGGCATTATCAGCACCACACTCTCCCAAGTGAGCCACGGGCCGGCCCCAGCCCTGAAAATTCTAGTGCTCTGCCTCAGACCTTCTGAAATCTAGTCAGTTACCAGCTGTGCCCTAACAAGCAACACTTTATAAGCCACTTCTTGTAGTCTTTTTTTTTTTTTGGAGGTGGGGAGCAGGTGGCTGGCCAGTATAGGGATCAAGCACTGGACCTTGGTATTATCAGCACCACGCTCTAACCAACTGAGCTAACTGGTCAGCTGCCTTCCTCTAATCTTGACTGATTCATCCATACTGCTTGCCTGCTCTGTGTAGGCACTGGCATGGCAGCTGTCAACAAGGTAGGCAAGGTCCTCGCCCTCTAGTGGCTTACCATCAAGTGTCATCTGAGTCACAGTCCCCTAAGGATTGTTCAAAGAGCTCCTGAACACCATTCCTAGAAATTCAGAAGCAGTAGGTCTGGATGCAGGACCCAAGAATTTGCATTTTTAACAAACTCCCCAAGTGATTCCAGTATATTATAGACAATGCTGGTCTAGTGGATGTTGTTCTCAGCAGAGTGGACAGAATTAGCTATCAGAGGACTTGGATTTGAGTGCCAGCCCTACCTCTTTCTAGCTGTGTGATCATGGAAAGTTTAAACCTTCTCTCAGCTAGTAAATTGGTTATCTCTAAAGAGAGGGCAATGCCTACCTTGCAGGACTGTTGTAAGGATTGGATGGATGTGAAAATGATTTGTACACTACAATTTTCTCTCTGAGTGAGGTGTTATCACAATTTCCCCTGCGAAATCCTTGAGCTCTGTCTCCATTGTTATGCCCCATCCCACTCCCCAAGGCCCAACCCTGATCCCACCTCTGCTTTCCCCAGTACGCAGCCTGGCTGGTGCTCTGGGTTGGCTGGAATGCATTTATCATCTGCTTCTACCTAGAGGTTGGACAGCTGTCCCAGGTAAGCCTCAGTCCTGGCAGAGCCACAGGGCAGAGCCTGACCTTTCCCAACCCCTACCCCAAGGGCTCCGATATGGTGTCAGTCTGGGGCATCATCTCTCAGAGACCTCCCTCTCTCTACACACCCAAATAATCGTATGTCCGTTCCCCACCCCATTTTCTTTCTGACCTCCTCTGCTCTTCTCAAAACCAATGATGAAGAACAGTCCATGTGAAGATGGGCTGGGGTTCCCCAAGTTGATCACAAGCTCAGTAAAAACCAACAATATGCTACTCTTAGGCCTCATTAACAGAGGTAGAGTGTTCAGAGCAAGGGAGGTGAAAATGCCATGCACTTTGTATTGCTTAGATCATGTATTAGTCCATTTCTGTTGCTTATAACAAAATGCCTGGAACTGGGTGATTTGTAAGAAAACAAAATTCATTGCTTATAGTTTCAGAGGCTGGGAAGTTTGAAGTTCAGGGAACACACCTGATGAGGGTCTTTGGTGGTGGCATTACAGCAATGCAGGGATCTCAAATGGCAGAAAATGGCAGAGCAAAGACAAAGAGATAGCTCCTCACGAACTCTCCTTTTAAAGCTCTCAGAGCCATGCCCACCACCACCATTAAACCATCAATTTAATCACCTCTTCAAGGGCTCCACCTTTCAGTTACCATAATAGCATTCCCCACCCCCACATTGTCACTGTGGGGACCAAGCCTCCAACACATTAAACTTTTGTGAGGACAGAAATCAATGCGTAATAGACCAGTTCTGATCAATGTTTTTCAGCAGGGAAAGAGAGTTTGTTTAGGGGAAATTGAGCAGACCATGCCACATGGAGAGCTATTGAAGAAAGCGGGGCTGTTTAGCTTGAAGAAGAGCAAGCGTTGGGAGATACAACTGGTATTTTTAGGCATAAAAGAGGCAAAATACGTGAATAAGAGTATTGGGTTTGTAGTTTGACCCTGCTAGATTCAAATCCCAGCAATAACATTTCCTGGCTGTGTGTCCCTGGGCAGGTGACTTATCCTCTCTGAGTTTCAGTTTCCTCGTTAGTGGAGATAATAGCAACTCAACTTCGTGTTGTTGCTGAGGGGGTGAATGATATCCCACAGCTCAGTGCTTGGCCCTGGTCAGCGTGCAGTGAATACTTATCTGACTGAATGAGTGAGTGGATTGATGAACACGAGGATGCACACCCTGGATAAGAACTTTGGACCTAGGCCAGCTCCTTTTCTAACGAATGGGGAGACCAAGGACCAAGGAGAGGAGAGGTTTGCCCAGGGCCACACACATGGACAGCAGTGGAGAGACCAGATGGGCTGTGAAGAGGTTTGAATTGAGGATTTTACCAATGACTGGGAAATTGGACCCGGTCACTGTTAATGTCCCTTCCGACCCTGACATTCTGGGACTCCTGTGGGTCAGCCCCTTTCCATCTCAGTGATGGTAGAGTGAGGCCTGCGTGGCCATCAAGCGCCACCTACTGGCCAGATGCAGACTTGCAGGCGCAGACTCCTGCTCTTCACAAATCAAGCAAGACAAGAAGCTGCTGCTTCAGTCTAAGTGTGAAACAGGCCTTATATAAAGTCTCCCCGGGCCTGGGGTGGACTCTCCCCACCCCTCCTTCTCCCACTCAATATCCCAGGCCCCTCTGCCCCCAGGACCGGGACTTCATCATGACATTCAACACATCCTTGCACCGTTCCTGGTGGATGGAGAATGGGCCAGGCTGCCTGGTGACACCTGTTCTGAACTCCCGCCTGGCCCTGGAGGACCACCATGTCATCTCCGTCACTGGCTGTCTGCTTGATTATCCCTACATCGAAGCCCTCAGCAGCGCCCTGCAGATCTTCCTGGCAGTGAGTCCTTCTGTCCCCCCACCTCTCAGGCCTCCCCAGAGGTGGAGGCCTCCACCCCAACCTTTTCTTTAGCCATAGTTAAGAGGGGATGCACCTAGGTCTTCCAGCCTGCCTGTGCTTCTGCCTGGATCTGTTTCCATATCTTGTACCACCTGCCTTCATCTATGCCTCAGCCCACAAAGGGAGTGAGCAGGCTTAATGAACAGGATGAGGCAAAAAGAGAAAAGAAAAGAAAAAAAGACAGAAATTTTTTTAAAAATTAAAAACAAAACAATAGGGGGCCGGCCCGGTAGCGCACTGCTACAGTGCGCCGCTTGGGAACGTGGCAGCGCTCCAGCCGAGGGTTCGGATCCCACATACAGACCGGTTCCCGCTCACTGGCTGAGCGAGGTGCGGGAGCAACACCAAGGGTTGCGATCCCGTTGCCGGTCCTGGTCCGGTACAGGCGCAACACTGAGGGTTGCGATCCGTTGCCAGACACGAAAAAAGACAAAAAAAAAAACAATAGGATGAGGCATCAGACCATGAGTCAGTCCTGGGTTTTTGTTTTTGTTTTAAAAGATGACCGGTAAGGGGATCTTAACCCTTCACTTGGTGTTGTCAGCACCACGCTCATCCAGTGAGCTAACCGGCCATCCCTATATGGGATCCGAACCCATGGCCTTGGTGTTATCAGCACCACACTCTCCCGAATGAGCCACGGGCCAGCCCCAATCCTGGGTTTAAATATCCGATACAGGGCTGGCCAGTTAGCTCAGTTAGTCAGATCATAGTGCTGCTAGCACCAAGGTCCAGGGTTCAATCCTTGTATCAGCCAGCTGCCAAAATAAATAAATAAATATCCAATACAAACAAGAAAAAAAAAGAAAAAGAAAAAATATGTATCCAATACACCCACTGAGTGACTTTGGACAAGTCACTTTTCTTCTCCAAGTTTGTTTCTTTATTCACAAAAAAGGAAAGACAATACCAATCTCAGAGTCTTGAGAATAAGAAAGTGGCACCCATATAGTAGTAGTTCCCATTTCTAGGAGGACCAGCCAAGCGATAAAATAATTACTTGTCCGAAGTCACATTTCTAGAACAGGGAATTGGTCTGGGTGTGTTTGACTTTTTTTTTTTTTTTTTTTTTTTTTAAAGATGACCGGTAAGGGGATCTTAACCCTTGACTTGGTATTGTCAGCACCACGCTCAGCCAGTGAGCGAACCGGCCATCCCTATGTGGGATCCGAACCCAGGGCCTTGGTGTTATTAGCACCGCACTCTACCGAGTGAGCCACGGGCCGGCCCAGGGTGTGTTTGACTTTAAGGTGCATTTACCTTGAAGTTGTTATGAAGGCAGGGATTCGAGGCAGGGGTCCCTCTCCTCTTTCCCTCCCTGACATGTTGTCACCTCCCCCAGCTGTTCGGCTTCGTGTTTGCCTGCTACGTGAGCAAAGTGTTCCTGGAGGAGGAGGACAGCTGTGAGTACGGCGCCCCTAGGGAAGTGGGGAAGCCTGGCCAGGAGCCCCCCCCCCCGCCCCCGCACCTTCAGCACCCTGGACAGGGGACGGGAACGGGCCTAGGCGGACGGGTGGCCCAAGGGCCCCTTTCGAGGGGAAAAAGAGGCGGCAGGGGTAGGTGGGGGTCTGCATAGCCAGCCCATTCTAGGCTAGGGCCCAGACGTCGAGGTGCCCACTCCATGGCCCCAGCACCGCCTTTTCCCAATCTCGCCCCACCCCTGTTGGAGGTCTTGTCCACTTCTGTTGCTCCAGCGCCACCCCCAAGAGCCCTCCCTCATAGGACCACCCCGCCTTCTGGGCTCTGTCCTCTGGGGGACTTGACTCCCCGCTGGCCCGGCTCCTCCGCGCGTCCCGGCCTGGGAGGCCCATCCCACAGGCCCCAGCAGAAAAGCCCTGCCCCTGGGGCCCTGAGCAGGAGTCTGTCCCTCACCCTCCCCTCCCCTGGCTTCTCTCGCTCCGCTTTCTCGGGCTGGGGGATCGTGCCCTCAAATTCTTCCCATTCAGGACCCAGCCTCGCATAATTCGCCCCCACCGACCTATCCCTAATCATGCTCCACCGCCCCTTCCGCAGTTGACTTCATCGGTGGCTTTGACTCCTACGGATACCAGGCACCGCAGAAGACGTCGCACTTACAACTGCAGCCTCTGTACACGTGGGTCACGGCGCGGAGCTGGGTCGGGGTGGAGGGCCCGGGGCGTTAGTGTTGGGGAAGGAGATGGAGGGGTGGGGAGGGCAGCCGGATCTCTCCGCCCCCACACTGCCGGTGTCCGGTCCCCTAACCTACCTTCGTTTCCTGCAGGTCGGGGTAGCTTCTGCCCCGCGCCCACCCCGGCGGTGCCGCGCCTTTGACGGCTGGACAGACCGCGGCTGCCGCGAGCTCGGGCCGAGACGGGCACGTGCGCCCCCTGGCGGCTCGCGGGCCGACTGCAGCCTGCGCCGGCCCCACCTGTGTCTGCAGCCGGAGAAGCGGACCTGGACCTGGACTTGGCTCTTTGCAGCCCGGACTTCAGGGGTGGGGCGGGGCGGGGTGGGGGAGGTGGATCACGGGGTTTGTATTTTTTTTTTTTTATCTCGGCCTTGGCATGAGCTGGGGCCTCTCTCCCTTCTCCAGCTTCCCCCTTTCACCCTTCACCCGGCATCCTGGCCTCTGTCCAGAGAGAAACAGCAAAAAGGACAGACTCATCCCATCTCAACACACTCATTCACTAGCCCTGGGAAAGCTACTGTGAACTAGGAGCAGGGTCCTGGGTTCTAATCACAGCTCCATCACTGTCTGTGTGACATCTGGCAAAGCCCTTACCTTTTCTGGGCCTCAGTTTCCTCACCCCAAGTGATTAAAATAATCCCTTAGCAGATGGACTCTTCCAGCCTTTTCATTTGACTCTAAATTTCTTGGGCTAGACTGGGATTATAATTCCCATTTTGCAGATATGGAAACTGACGCCCAGAAGTGTGAAGTGATTTACCTGAGTCACACAGCTAGGCTTTTAGTGGAGATGGGCCTTGAACACAGTGTACTTCCTGTAGTTTCAGACTCCAAAACCCAGTGTCTGCTCTCTGAATTCCATTTCCAACCCCCTTTCAGTTTGGACACTCTAGAGCCCATGTGGTCTCCACCACACTCATCACCATCTCCACTCCCCAACGCTCCTCTTAAAGCAATATAGTCCTTCATCCTCTTGCCAGAAACCAGATGGACAGAGCCCAGAGCCCTGAATTCAGCCAGACCCACAGGAAGCCTTCCTAGACTCAGCCTCTGTGCACTTCTGGCAAACCTTTCAAGCTCTCTCTTCCAGTAAAGTGGGGCCAACTTGGTCACCCCACCCTCTTCTAGGTCTCTGAGGCTGGGTCTCCTACACCCATGGTCCCTCATCCCCTTGGCAACCAACCCCTGATGGCTCCGTCCACCTCACCAGTTGGAAGACTTGAGGTTCCAGAGAAGAGGGCTGCTCAAGTGCTGCCTGGACACCAGTGTTTACAAATCATCAGCGTTTAGGGCCATGCCAATGTCCAGAAGCAACCTCTAACAGGCCCAGAGAGAGTTCTGAAAGGGCAGAATGGGGAGGAGGGGATCAGGAGGGCCAGCTCTCCCATCTTCCCCCTTTCTGTGGCAAGTAGAGGTGAGAGCTCTTTCTCTGCATCTCCCTCCACAGACACTCTGAGGACCCTGCAATCCTGTACACTGGCTGGTGAGTTCACAGGCAGGAGGATCAGGCCTCAGCATCTCAGTCTGTGAAATTGGAGGTGCCCTGGGCTAGTAAGCAGGGTGGGAGGCATGGGGGAACCAGAGGGAGCCCAGGCAGTGCTGGTGGTTTGCACACCTGAGCCTGTCTATGGTGACCGCTCTGCTCCTTGCCTTCCTCCCTCTGATCTAACATTCCCTATTCTCTAAGGCCCAAATATCCTGAGCTAGGCCAGCAAAATTTCCTGCTACCCGCCCCCATCCCATCTGCAGTGCTGTGCCCAGCAGCCAACCCTGGAGTTCCTCTGGCTGCCACATGCACTGAGGCCCAGGTGGTCAGCCCAGTCAGCTGGCGGGTACAGCTCAAGAGGGGGACAATTCCCTTCAGGCTGGGCTGCTATCCTGCCACTGGGCCAACTCCTGCCTTGGGCCCTCCCTTTTCCCACCCTTACCCCCCCAGGCCCCTTTCTACTCAACGGGTTTAGCCACTGGTGCTTTGAAGCCTTTTGTTTTTATAGGACCGTTTTTACAGGAGACCAGGTTTTCTTCTCACTGGGACCTTGTAAGGTGGGGAGTGCACCCCTGGTTTCTGTGCAGGTGGGTTGATTAAAGATGATGTTTTCTTCTCTATCTTCCTGTCCTGCCCTCTGGGTCAGTAGGACCTCCTAAGAGAGCAGTCCCTGCACACAGGCAGGCAGGGCTGGGAGTCGATGTGTTGTCATTACCATATATTCCTGGGCACTGGCCTGTGCCTCTGACTGGCTGTGTGGCTTTGGGCAAGTCACTCTCCTCTTTCCTCATCTCACCCCCACCAAAAAAAAAAAAGGAGAGGTCAGACTAAATCAGTGTGGTTCACTGTCCCTGGGAGAGCTCTCTATTTATTTTTCTCTTTAATTGCATTTTAAGTTCATTCTTCTGAATAACCTTTTTATGTGGGCTCTGCCCTCTTCTTGACAGTTCACTTTCTGGTATGGAATGAGCTTGCAGACAGTGCTTTAGACACAGATTTCTGTGTCCTTCCCTTGACATCCTGGATCCTTTTCTGGTGATACAGCTTAGGAATCAGTATTTTAAATTTTTAAATTTTATTTATTTTTGTGAACAGGTAATGTGTTTTTGTGGTACAGAATTCAGAAGGTTCCAGGGAGATTATAAACTCATCTGTTTCTCATATCTTCCCAAAGATAGTCAATTATTTAAGCATTTATAGAAATATTCTTTTTCTTTTTCATAAGAATAGAAAGATATTCTACTTACTCTTCAATCCCCTGCTTCTTTCACTTAATTCTCAATCTCATCTGATAACACCAAGGTCAAATGTTTGGTTCCCCATACAAGCCAGCTGCCAAAGGGGGAAAAAAAATTCTGAATCTCAGAAATCTTCCCCCAATAATACATGTGGAACCACCTCCTGTTCTTCCACAGTGATTTAGTAGAACTGAGATTTTTATCAAGATCCCCAAGGTGGTCCTGATGCAGGCAGGGGGTTAGAACCAAGGGTTCTTACGTAAGGGTGCCCCAGGTCTGTTACACAAATCTCTGTGGGCCACTCCTGGCCATGGGGTCCAGAGGAAAAGAAATCAAAGACACCACCTTCAAGGAGCTCTGGCTCTAGTGGGGAGTGCATGGGATGACCAGGCAGGAAAGTGAGTGCTGGTAGCAGGTGGTCAGTGCTGAGGACAAAGTGTAAGTAACAGGTGACTTCACAGGAGCGAGAGAGAGAGAGAGAGAGAGAGAGAGAGAGAGATCTGAGAAGCCCCAGCCGGGGGCAACAGCATGAGAAAGGGTAGGAAAATGCATGGGTCTGGCCTAGGAATAATGGGAGGGAACTGGTTGGAGGACACTGCAGTAGGGAATGTATTAGTTTCCTATTGTTATCATAACAAATTACCACAACTGCTGGCTGGTTAGCTCAGTTGGGTAGAGTGCAGTGCTGATAACACCAAGGTCAAGGGTTTGGATCCCCATACTGACCGGCTGTCAAAATGAATAAATAACCTCAACTTGAATGTCTTAAAACAATGCAAATTTATTATCTGACAGTTCTGTAGAAGTCCAATGTGGGTCTCACTGGGCTAAAATCAAAATGTCTGCAGGGCTGCATGTTTTTCTGGACACTAAGGGATAATCGTCTTCCTTGCATTTTCCAGCTTCTAGAAGCCACCCACATTCCTTGGCTCATGGCCCCTTCCTCCATCTTCAAAGCCAGCAACATTTCATCTCTTGGATCCCTCTTCCATCATCACATCTCTCTGGCCACAGCCAGGAAAGGTTCTCAGCTTTTAAGGACCCATGCCTTTAGATGGATCCACCCAGATAATCTCGGATAATCTCCCAATCGCAAAATCCTTAACTTAATCACGCCTACAAAATTCCTTGTCATACACCACATTCACAGGTTCCAAGGGTTAGGATGTGGATGTCTTTGGGGGCTGTTTTTCTGGCTTTCACAGGGAAGGAGTTGTATGTAAGTTGTAGAGGTCCTGAATGTCAAACCAGGGTGCATCAGCCTGCTGTGCTAGCAATGTGAGCTATTGGAGGGTTTGAATGGGAGCTTCTCAGAGTTGACCTTTAGAGAGAATCGGCAAGGCTGGAAGGATGGGTTGAAGGAAAGCAGGAAGCAGGGTTTTGTCTGCAAGAGGCCTAGGGTTTCTCATTTCTGTGTGAGAGCATGTGTTCTAATGGGTATGTGTGTGGTGACAAGCTCTATGTGTGTAAATTTGGGAAAACTAGTACAGTAATCATCAGCACAGACTGCGGGAGTCAGGCAGATGTGGGTCCAAATCCTGAATTCACTACTCCATGGAACCAATCAAGTTGATTTTCCCAGGAAGTCCAGTGAAACCCATCTCCCAGCAACCTCTGCACATTGGAATAACCCATGTAGGACAGATCATCTTCCAACAACTACTGAGTCATAAAGGTGCCCAAGGCATTCTTTGAAGTGATAGAATATGAATTGGCCCAACGTGCATATTTGGGGTAGGGGGCAGGTGGCCAGTACAGGGATCTGAACCCTTGACCTTGATGTTATCAACACTGTGCTATCCCAAGTGAACTGACTGGCCAGCCTTCCAGGGTGCATTTGACAAGCACAATAGTCTACTGGGATTTATAGACATATTAGTGTTTTCTTCATTCCACTGCAATTTGGGTCTTGTAATTTCTAAACAACAGATTAGGGATGAGATAGATGAAGGCCTCATTCCTTTCAAAGAAGATTTGTTATTCCTAGGGACAGGGCAGTGTTTCTCAATCTTGCAGAGCATAAGAATCCCTTAAAACCCAGATTCCTGAGGCTCAGTTGCTCGGAAACACTGAATTTAACATCTCCAGGGCAGTGACTGGAATCTGTTTTTCACTGGTGCCCCAGGTGATCCAGGTTTGCAAAATCCTAGACCCAGGTAAAGAAGCATTCAAACAGTTTTGAAACGACCTACTCCGTTGTTATGAAGGCCCTGCCAGATTATACCTGCTAACTGCCTCATATCAAGAGCTGAACTTTGGGACTATCTACCCAAAGCTGAATTATATTTTAGCTCAATTTCATTTGTTACTGACAGTTTTATGATTATTTTTCCTTTTTTTTTTTTTTTTTTTGGTGGCTGGCCCATATGGGGACAGTTATTTTCTTAATAGGTTAGCCATTTCGAAGGCTGTAATCAACTCTCGAGATTAAAGCATTGGCATAACGTTTTTTTTTTTTTTTGGGGGCTGGCCCATATGGGGACAGTTATTTTCTTAATAGGTTAGCCATTTCGAAGGCTGTAATCAACTCTCGAGATTAAAGCATTGGCATAACGTTTTTTTTTTTTTTTAAAGATGACCAGTAAGGGGATCCCAGCCCTTGACTTGGTGTTGTCAGCACCAGACTCTCCCGTGTGAGCTAACTGGCCATCCCTATATAGGGATCTGAACCTGTGGCCTTGGTGTTATCAGCACCACACTCTCCCAAGTGAGCCATAGCGCTGGCCCCAAGCATTGGTTTAACTTCACCGCTAGGTTACTTGGGTCGAAGGCAAGGCTCCGGGAAGGGAGGGCTCCTTGGGAGTGGGTGGGGCCAGTTTGAGCTCTGTCTTTCCCTCTTCCAGCCTCAGCCTCAGTCACCTGGAAGAGCTGAAGACAGCTCCACATTGCCCCACTCCCACCCAGGCGTTGGAGGCCACACCCTGCCTTGGGCCTGGGTTCCGGTGACTCAGCAGTTCTCTCAGTCTGCCCTGGAACCAGTCTGAGCAGGCCCAGGCAAGCTGGAGCTGCAGAGAGAGCCCTGTGCTGAGTGTCCAACACCTTGATTCTAGTTCTTCCTCACCCCGACCACCTATGACCTTGGGCAACTCCTCCCCCTGCTCTGGCCTCTGTGATGTCATGGGTGAAATGAGAGGGCTGGACTTTGTGTGATATTCACAGGCTGCTTTAATGCTAGCGTTCTGGGATAGAGATTCTCAACCTTTACTGTACTTGGGATGCCTTTCTAAAATACAGATTCCTGGGCCCCATCGGCATAACAGGTTCTAATTAATGGGGGCTCAAGCATATGGATTCATCCTTCAAACATTTATTAAGCACATGTGATGTGCCAGGAATTGGGGATACAGCAGTGAACAAAATAGACAGTAATCCCTGTTCTTGTGGAGGATGTCTATTGGGAGGAGACATACAATAAGTAAAGTAAAATATGATATATCAGATACATGTCCTGGAGCAAAGCAGGACAAGGAAATACAGATCAGAAATCAATTCCTTTTGGGCCGGCCCGTGGCTCACTCGGGAGAGTGCGGTGCTGATAACACCAAGGCCACGGGTTCGGATCCCATATAGGGATGGCCGGTTCGCTCACTGGCTGAGCATGGTGCTGACAACACCAAGTCAAGGGTTAAGATCCCCTTACCGGTCATCTTTTTTTTTTTTTTTTTTCCCTTTTAGTCTTTTTTCATGTCCGGCAACGGACCGCAACCCTCAGTGTCGCACCCGGACCGGGACCGGGACCGGCAACGGGATCGCAACCCTTGGTGCTGCGCCCGCCCCTTGCTCAGCCAGTGAGCGGGAACCGGTCTGTATGTGGGATCTGAACCCTCGGCGGGAGCGCCACCACACTCCCAAGCAGCGCACTGTAGCAGTGCGCCACCGGGCCGGCCCAACCGGTCATCTTTAAAAAAAAAAAAAAGAAAAAGAAAGAAATCAATTCCTCTTTTTTTTTGATCGCTGAGCCAGCAGCGGGATCTGAACCCTTGACCTTGGGGTGGTCAGCACCGCAGTCTCCCAAGTGAGCTAACCAGCCAGCTGGTCACTGAGAAAGATTTTTTATAAAAGACCTGAAGCAGGTTAGGCAGAAAACAAACAAAGATAGCAGCAAGAGCAAAGGCCCTGAGGTGGGAGCATGCCTGAATATTGGAGGGAAGCAGGGAGGCAAATGTGGCATGTTCAGAGCCACAATAGCAGGAGATAAAGTCAGAGAGGTAGAGGGGGTGGCATCAGATATGATATTGGCCTTAGAGGACATTTTAAGGGCTTCACCTTTTAATCTGAGTGGAGTGGGAAACCACCGGAGGAATAGAGCACAATAGAGGGATTCTCCCCAGAAGACTGTAGGGGGTGAAGGGCTGATGCAGGGAGACCAGGTTGGATGCCAT